TCAGTTACCACGGACTCTTAAGCTAAGCAAATAACTAATCTTTAGCGGCCATTTTCTCACAAATTTTAGCTCTGAAAACAGGTGACCCCCAGATCCTTCATTCGCAAATATCCCGACTTGTATTCAAGATAAATGGATACTTTTTTCATCCAAATAAAGACAAGTGAACAAGCTTTAAGATGATACCAATAACTCCACAAGCCCAAAAATTGACGAGAGCCTGATTCCACCACGCTGCCTCACAAATATATTTTTCTACTTTTACATGATGTCCAATAAAACATTACATGTAATAAAAAAATGTTCTCATCCAAAATGGCAATAATGAAGATAAGAACTACTTTTTTTTTCACGCCTTTGTTTTTTTTGTTGTTTTTTCTCTTTAATTTAAGTGTACAGTGCTGAGGAAAAAACAAACCAGAAACACAGGAACAACATAGGGAAAGAAAAGAAGTTAACCTACCAGTGGTGCCCTCCAACCCACCCACATCAGGGTAGGAGGCGTCAATAAAAAGCAACGTTCAGCAAGAGAGGTGTCAAAATAATCGAGCTGAAAGAAAATCATCTTTAACAAAGAAAGATTGCGTGATTAAAATTAAAGCACTAGTACTGGTGTATCGGTATAGAACTTCAGTAGGGCCTACTGGTATATTCTTGGTACAGAACTTGTAATTAAAGCACCAGTACTGGTATATTGCTATAGAACTTATAATTAAGGCACTAACAGTACAGATATACTGGTATAGAACCTGTGATTAAAGCACTAGTAGTACTGGTATTTTGGTATAGAAAGTGTGATTAAAGCACTAATAGTACTGGTATATTGGTATAGAAAGTGTGATTAAAGCATTAATAGTACTGGTATATTGGTGTAGAAAGTGTGATTAAAGCACTAGTAGTACTGGTATTTTGGTTTAGAACTTGTAATTCAAACACTTATAGTAAGCCTACTGGTATATTGGTATAGAAAGTGTGATTTAAGCACTTGTAGTGGTACAGAACTTGTGATTAAAGCACATATGTGTCATGACACAGTGGAATCAGGCGCTCGTCAATTTTTGGGCATGTGGAGTTATTTTATCGTCTGAAAGCCTGTCTTTCGATGAAAAAATACCAATATATCTTGAGTAGAAATCAAGATATTCATTATTTGCAATCGAAGGAACGTGGGTCGCCTGGTTTCAGAGGTAAAATAAGCGAGAAAATGGCAGAAAAAGCTTGGTGATTTCCATCCAAAGCTTGAGAGTCGTTGGGAACTGAAAATTTTCATTTTTTTTGCTTTAAGTCGACGCAATTAAGTAAAATCCACACATAAATGCGTTTCTAAATAATAATAAGAGGTGGTGAGCTACAAAACAAAAATTTTAAAAAAATTGCCAAACTGGCAGAAAAATGTGGATATCTTTGATTTCATTACTTTGACGAGTGCCTGATTTCACCACAATGCCGTACATAATAGTACTGATATATTGGAACAGAATTTGTAAAATGCATGTCTGATCACAAGAATCAGGAGAACAATTTTTTTTACTAAGTATTCTGTGCACGGAGTGTAAAATAGAAGACAATTCACTATCCATAATACACATATTAGCTTCGTTGAAGTGACATTTTGGGCAAAACTGAGTTACAACCATCAAGCAAGTACTTAACCTATATTCCATCATCTCTAGAATTGTGGTATGATACCATTAGCCGTTACAGAGTTATTGTGTTTTTCAAACTAGTGTAGCCACCATTTTGCTGTGTCACCAAAAAGTTCAAATTTAACAGGTTTCCTGAATATTTAACAAAATGTTGCTTACCCTAGTATGTGATTCGGATGACGAATTTTTTGTCAAAGCTGTTCATATGAACTAAGTCCAGAAAGCACATTCTCCAGAAGGAAGAAAAAACTCGGTTTCACTCTCATAACAATTATAAAGGTGTCCACTTAACAGCAACCCAGATAAAAGCAACCTCCACCTAACAGTTACCTAAGCTTATGCAATCGACATTTTCTTAAGTAAAAAGGCCCATGTAACAGCAGTTCTTATCCTCCAACAGCAACCTTCGTGGCATTACTTGTCCGACAAAAATGTTTTTTGATGATTCAAGCTGCAAGAGTGACCTATAAATTTCAGGGTGAGTACGCCCCTCCTCTCTTGTTTGTCTCCTCACAACAACTACTCAACCCCAAAATACACTACTCTGAGTACAGGAGCTCAGTTTATATCCTCTCCCCAACAACCACCTTTCTTGAAGTTCCCCGGTGGGGCAGGACTCAGGGAAGTCTCGGTTAGTGGCTAAGTGAGTAGTGAGTTTTGACTCAAGCAATGTCAAGCAAGTGTCGGTGACACGGGGATCAGATGGGTGGTCACTGGAGTGTGTCCTTGAGCAAGACACGACAACCCTAGCTCAAATTACAGGGCGCTGCACAGTGGCGACCGGCAGTGGCATTGTTTGTAAACTGTTCTGTATTTGTGTAATAGTGTGTATTTATGTATGTATTTATGCATGTATGTATTTGTGTATGTACGTATTTATAATTATGTATTTATGTATGTATGTTTGCCATTGTAAAACAAAGTGCCCTTCTGGGACAAATAAAAGTGTAATTTATTTATTTATTTATTATTTATTTACTATGCATAGCAAATTACAACTGTGCAAATCAAGCTCTGGCTCACTTGAAACCTGAAGCCGCCTGTTTTGTTCCTTTTAAACGTAACATAATAACATGACTACACCCTATGATAAGAACTTGTGTAGTGTAAGCATTTCTCAAGGGGGTGAGTGGATGGGAGATCAACACCCCCTCCTTCCCCCAATGCCTGAAAAATAATTTAGTTAGCAGCAACCTCCCCCAAATGTTGTTACTCATGGGTTTGCTGCTGTTAGTGTCAGGCCAACACCACGGTATACCTCTATTTCTTAGAATGCTTTTTTGAACATTTATAATTTGAATTTCAATAAAATATCTCTTGAGCACCTGCAAACAATATCACATTAATGAAACTTCAGTAAAGATTTTTTTCTCTAAACTTTCTTTTTTAATCTAATGCTTGTCTTATACAGTGGAACTCGGATTCAACGAGCTTAGATTCAACGAGAACTCAGATTCAACGAAAGGAGATGGATTCCCTGCTTTTTTCCTGCTTTGAAATCAATAAAAATGACCTGGTTTTAATGAACACTTCAATTCAGCAAGCTTGGATTCAACAAGGTTGCTTTGAGGGTGAACAGCCCCTGCAGACGTGATCTATTCCCAGAAACCATTCATTGCACCAGCATTGTGAACCATTATTCACTTGCCGATTGCATGTGACCAATGGTACAATTTACAAATGGCCACTTCCCACTTTCCCTCTTGTGTTATTTTTACACATACACCTGTCTATGACAGCCACTTTTCTCCTCAATGATGGGTGGCTGTCCTGGACATTTTGGACTGAACTTGCAGGTGGGGTTGGTAATGAAAAAGACAGTGCTAAAAATCTTTCGACATCTTTGGTTGAAGTCAGCCAATTACCTTTCTATATATAAAGTGCATGTTAAACAAAAATAAGATTACAAAAAAGCTACAGTGTGACTTTCACTCTGCTGAAAGTATTCTGTTATTTCCTCAAAACAAAGTGTACAAAAACGAATATAGCAGAGTCTGTTTAAACAGAAATCATTGGGAACGCCAGAGTTTCTTTGATTTTGCTGTGTGCTCCATTTTTAAAAACGAGACTGCTTACACAGTGGAGAAAAAAATTAAGAATTCTATTTTCTTTCAATTTACCACCGTTTTCAGATGAAATGAGTTCAGTTTAAGCAGACTCTACTGTACGTCACAAACCGAATTTTGAAAACACGAAGCACGCTTTAACCATGGCACAAGATGTTTCTAAGTTTAAGTATATGAACACTCTTCTAATAACACAACTGAACCGGGATAAGAGAGGACAAACAGATGTAGCATCCTTAACACTGAGATATTACAGTTTTGTATCAGTTCTTACAGTGTAAGAAAGATAAAACACTTTGCCTATGAAACTGAATAATATACATATTATTCCTGTAGCACCATACATGTAAAAAACGAGGTTCACCAGCTCTTTCAACATACGTCAATAACATTTTTCATGTTTGATTTCAAACCCGTAATTACCTTCTTACTGCTTGATGTTCTTTGGATAATGGACAACAATGTTTACCCATACTGCAAGTATAAAGGTTAACTTCAATTCTTCTTTTGATAATAGAAACCATACAAAAAACAATACTTATCTAGGAAAAGTTATTGCTTAACTTACACACACATACACACACAAAGACATATTATATATCCATACATTTGCGCACACACGTACACCCGAGCTCACATACCGCTATTCATAAACCATTATAGATGAACGAAACACAAGATGCTTGTTCAACGAAGTGTTGGATTGATGAATAAGTGAAAATAATATTAATGAATATATATATTATGAATGAATGTATACCTCTTTCAATCGAAAATATCTCAACTTCTATTCAAGATAAAAGGGTATTTTTTTCATCTAAAGATAGACATTTGAATTTTAATATGATATCACTAACTCCACATGCCCAAAAATTGATGAGAGTCAGATTCCACTATATCATAAAGACATTATCCAAGGTATCCACCTATCTAAGACAACCAATTTTTTTCTCGATGATGGAGGATACATGCATGATGTAAATCTTTAAGAAAAGTCAACAATCGACTTGCTAGAGCCCCGTATGTTCAGACACCTTAGAAGTTTATCCCAAAACATCTGCAGTACCCTTGAAAATTGCTTTGTAAGACATATTGCACCAAGATCACAAGGCGAAAGCTAAATAAAGAAACCCCAACAACCAGACGAACAAAAAGAATTAAAAGTACTGAAAAATCTAACATAGCATAATAAATTTAAAAATATTTTTAAATACCAGACAATGTACTATTATGTACTCAACATTTGATTTCTGACTTTGTAATTTGAAGCAAAGTTATTGATTATAAATTCGTTAAAACACCAGGTGACACTCGAGTTTATGGAAATGTAGTTTCTTAGGGGACTGTAGTGAATTATTTGGGAAGGAAAAGAAACAAAATAAGGTAGTAATTGAAGGACTTAATCGGGCCACAGCCTGATAAAAAATGATCAGGAAAAGACAAGTGCAATTTCTGGGACACTTGAATAGACATAAAGGCCTTGAACACCTAACTCTCACTGGCAAAATTGAAGAGCTGAAACAGATGGGTGACAGCGAAAGATCAGGTTAATGTAGCCTTTTGTCAGAGCATCTGAGAAAAGAAATGAATGGAGTATCATGATAGCCAATGTCTGTTGCAGATCTGGCACATGATGAAGATGGCACAAGTTTGGAAGCAGTAATTTGATGCAACATTACCGGATTCAAAATCTTTTAACTACCAGACAGTCATCAAGTTTGGATGGTACAGATACTCCAAACAGTATCACCTGAGCAGGGTACAGCAAACCCATGGTAAAAAATAAATAAAATTACCTTAAAATATTATTCAACTTAATCAAAAAACAACAACAACAACAACAAACTTTTTCACGTTCAGATGAAATCAAATCACAGGGAAAGAATATCTTACTGAAAAACTTTGCAACATACAGGCATAACATTTCCTCAACTCTTTTCATACCAAGCTTCATTGCTCAAAGTAAGATTTGAATAACACATAGTGCCAATAAACTGGTGCCAGGTATTGAAAGAGTTAATATAGTGCAAAAAGAAATTAAATGTTCTATAAGTCCCAACCCAGCCGGTCTATTTCACTGATGATAAAGTCCATGTCTTTGTAGGTGTTCGAAGGGTTGTGGACAATCAAGCGGAAAAAGTTGACCAGTCCTTTGCTGGACAATGGCTGGTAATTGATCATCATGGTACCAGCTTTGACCATCCTCTCCTTGACCTTTGGGGCAACCTTAGAAACAAATAATTAAAACAAAATAATTTTTTCTTAGTTCTTGCTCACCTCTCTAGCCTCAAAAGCACAAAGTCTGCTTCGACTATCAGGGCACCCCAAAATAGCAATTTACAAGAGAGTGACAAACGTACTAAAGAAGTAGAGGAAAAATGACGATAGCAAGGATGAGGAAAGAAAAGGCAGCAGTTCCCCAAATGTTGTTCCGGCACAGTATGAACATGACATTGATAAATCAACCCATTTACAATTCTACTCTGCATAAGAACCTGTAAACATCCCCCCTTTGGGAATGGCCAAAAGACAACTTCAGTCAGTAGCACTACCCTGGTGGGGAGGGGGGGGGGGTGTTTCTACACCATCATCGACACTTTTAAGATAATGTAGGGGGTTGGCTTCAGTCCTGCCTGTTAGGGTTAGGGTGAACCCTGGGCTGAGAGGCATACCACATCCCAACAGAAAGACATAGATACTCAATAACAATTCTCCCCACTCGGAAATTGAACCTGGGTCTCCTGTGCATGACAGCAAAGTGCTTTATCACTACACCACAGACGCCAGTAAGCTGAAAAACCAGTTATAAAGGCGAAATATGAAGCAAGCACATAATTTGAACCTTTCTTACCACTCCAAATGGATGGTTAAAAAAAAGCCGCTTGGGTAAGTTTTACTTCTGATCTTTCATAACGTCATTTCTGGGG